CCCCCCCCATTCAAGCAGCCGCATGCTAATCGTTTCTTCGTAGCACATGGCGACACACGCGGGAACCTGAAACCCAAAACATGGACCGAACGATGTTTACGGGAATCGACGGCAACGTGAAAATGTCGTACCTCGATAACCGTCGTCTTATTTCCCAATCCTGTCTAAATCTGATAACAATTGCCAAACGCCAGTCACGTACTGGAAACGGGACATTGAAATAACATTGAACCTTTCCACCATCTTGTTCAGAGTTTGGAACGAACTGGAAGTCCAAGGAAAAATTTCGCACGTATGCGTATACATATGTGAGACCCATTCTAAACAGCCAATCAATTGCCTTTTGTTCAAGTCCTAAAATAACATTAGGCGTCGTTCGGTTGAAAAGGGAATAAAATTCCATGATAGTCCAATCACTGCTAAAGAAATAAAAAATTTCATGATGCTCCGGTCACACGCCACCAAATACGTACGTAAAATAAATAATATTGTTGTTATTATTAGCTATGAAATTTAACGTAAAAATCATTTTTCTCAAGTTTAACCAGAAGCCGGTAACATTGATTAACTTGAAATTCGGTTATATCTTTGCCCAGGCAGACTGTAGTCAACGTCCAGTCACCTGCTTGGAAACCAGTCGGGGCCCACGTGTACCAAACGACGCGGCGCGTCGCGACGCTACGCACCATAAAATCCACTAACTGCGGATGACATGAATCGATTCGTGGTTCAAGACTAGCCGTTTCCGAATTTAGCATGGGGGTCGCGAACGCGACCCCAGACGCCGCGACGCCGGCATTGTGTCCCGACGCTAATTTTACAATGGCTGTCTGACTCTGCAGAGCACGTGCGGCGTCCCGACGCTCGGTGCCCACACCGACGCTCTTTCTCTTCCTTTCGTTCTTACTATTTCTTGTAATTTTCTCTGTCTCTCTTTCTCATTCCTATTCCTTCTCCGTTCCCCTCTTATTCTCTATTATTTATTCTCTTCTTCTTCTATCCATCCGACATGACAGGATTTTCCTTGTAGCGCAGCTAACTTATGCGTATTCGCGCACCTCGCGTTTCTTCAATTAGACAAAGTCTGCTAGGAAGATTGAGAAATGTGAATATAAACAAAAAAAGTCTTTTTTGAATTTTTCAAAATTTCATAGTCGTTATTGGGTATTCGGCCCTGACTCTCGCTGAATGAAAATATCATGCTGGATGCAGATGACTTTCTTTCAGGTTCTATTATCTGAGTCCAAGAGATGGACCACCCTTGACACTTCTGGTCAGCCCTTGTAGCGGTCCCATTTCATGGAACATCAGTTACGTTGGTATTCCCGAGGACGATCCCGGTGCCAACTGCACAAAATGTAAGTATTGCAATTGACTGTTAATACAAGATTTATTATAATTATTGACCATACTTATCCATAGACTTGAAAATACTTAAATTATCATTGTTATTCCGCACTACAATTTCCAGAATCGTATACCCTGACAATTTTGATAAACACCATCATACAGTATATCAGCCCCATTGGTCACGTACCATATCCAGTAACAAAATAGCGTAATTCTAACTAACTAAACTGTTTGCAGGAAGCTTCGTGCTTAACACCGTAGTATTTAAGGACACCATCTTAGACGTTATTTTTAAAATCTTCCCCTTAGCGTTCGGAAGGAAACGAAGAACAGACCTGACTGACCTTTCAGTCTTCAAGCAACAAAAGTTATAACCCCCGTTTTGTGACTGTCATCCACCCCTTTTTTTCAATACACTCTATATCCCCTTTGAATCATATACAGGCATACGCACTACTGAATAAAATTTGCCATGCATTAAATTACAAAAAAAATTTTTTAATTTCAAACAAAAATATCAACCGAATATAACTGCATATACACAAAAAAAATGTAAAAAAAAATCATCTCCACGAAACTTCTATTGCACTGAATTATCGAATCCCACTGTGTAAGAATGTTTCTTGTAAGAAAAAACAAGGAAAAGGATAAAGAAAAGACATAAAACGGCGAAACGGAAAAAAAGAATCTTTTTGAACCGTATACCGGTTACGATTTGGGACTCATGCCAAAGACTTATCTTGAAACCAAGAGAAGCCGTCAGAAACCACATGTTGGAAGTGTCTCTGCGTTATAACTATAGCCACGCGCCAAGATCCAAATGAGACTCTCCACGTAGCTATATCTATATATCACGTGTATAAGAACGTCTATAACGTATATCGCATATAGTCTACGTCTGGACCGGGAATATTCTCACCGGGAAGTTTTGACGGGAAAAGCAGACTATCCGCAATTATTCTCATCGGAGCCAGTATACTCGACCTCGTGTTCGCACTGGCACTCTATTTCCGCTCGTTGATCGGTAGATATTTTTTGACACTAAACAGAGAGAGAGGGAGGGATGATGATGAAAAAAAGATAGACAGAGAGAGTAGATTCCTCTCGTTGGATACTAAGCAGCTTTAGAAAAAATTTTTCATGCGCTTTACTTTCATTGAAAATATTGTGATAATATATCCGCATACGTAAATAAATTATGGCACGTATGGATCTATGAGTGTATGCGTGAGTTTTCATCAATCATCATTTACCGTTCAGTTTACTTGTCGAGATAACGGAAAATTATTACCATGGGATATTTTTTTATTTGTCTAATTTGCGGAAGACGTTATCACTGATAACTTTAACTAGCTGCTGTACCGTTACGCATTCGATTATTGGATCGTTGTACGCTAAGTCCGTTATCAGTGACTGGATGCTTTATCGGAATTTGTTTTTTTTTTTGTAAATCTCCGTAAGAGAGTTATTTATTAAAAATTTGCAAATACTTGGGAAGTACTGTATTGTGCGAACGTTGGTCATTCGCTGTATTGAGATTTGTTTATGGGGTGGTGATAATAATTTTTTTGAATATTGTTATCATTTTTCTTTCAACAGCTCAGACCAGGTGGCCAGTCAAAAGTCTTAAACCTGGTGAAACACTGTTTACTTATGAGGGTTCGGAAGTTCAAAATTTCACTGTATCAAGATCTCGCGCTGGGCTTTATCGTTTTGGGATTAAGTCACTGGCGCCTCCGAATTTTGATTCAAATAAGAAATATACGGTTTTGCTTTACGCCACGTCCAGTACTCTTGATCATCTTCTTGAACCCTATGAAAAAGGAAGACGACATCATTCACTGAGATTTCATCAGAGACGAAGTCGACGCAGACTTACCGTCTCTTGGAGCAAGAGGTACTTTCATTTAATGTATTTGAGGTTGTCATTAATTTTTCAATTATTTTTTTTTTTTTTTTTTTTTTTTTTTTT